GGACGAATTTCATGTAATCACATCGCCATACTAAATAACATTGACAGAACCCCCCTCGCAACACAACCTACAACTCCCATCCCATGCGCCTGTTCCAATTCATTTGTATATCCTCCCCTTGGCCACATAATTACTGGCGACACACGCGTGTTAGGTAACGACTTTCTAGAACACTATTTCAAGTTAGGGTGCAATTTCCGTTTACCTCAAAATCTACACCCCACTGAAGTCATCGATCACTTTTCCACAACCTTCACAGCTTACATTCGGCTACTAGTTTGCAGATATCGTATAGAATTGTCGAGCGCTATAGCTTACCGTGACGACGTGCTGTCATAAGCTCGCCGTCTCCTTGAGAGCTTCTACATTAATGCTCGTCCTCTTGGCAATGTTAACACCTCTACGCTTCTTGCACGGGCTCAGAGTCAACGACGTTCGCTAGTCATTACACCTGTTGACAAAGCTCACAACAATTTTGCTTTCATTTGCGAATCACTTTACATAAGTGTGCTGAGACAGGAACTAGGCATATTGGACAATGGTGAGGTTATTGGTAATGACACCTATCACCCGGTTAACGATACTGCTGCTCACATTCTAGCTCGCCACGATCTCCTCCTCCAGAGGTTCCAAATTCAAATAGATAATGAAAACAAGGTCCTACCTCTAATCTATGCTATTCCTAAGTTTCATAAAACCCCCTATAGTTTCCGTTTTATCGTCTCCGCTGTACGTTCAAGCATCAAGCCCTTAAGCGTTCTTCTTCATCGGGTACTGCAATTTTTCTGCCGACATCTTTACAACTACGCCTTAGTACTACAACGTAGGTTACGCAAACGCCTCTACTGCAATGTTAGAAACTCGGACGACGTCATCACATTCGTTACCAGTTGTAGACTAAGCCACAGCTTTCATACGGCAGATTTTTCAACTTTGTTCACAAAACTTCCTCATCGTGCCATTTATGACGCACTTGGTTACCTTTTTCCTTTATGCTTTCGTAACGCCCACGCCGACACTTTGCATATCACCACCAAGACTATTCGATATGTCAACGATGCTGCAGGAT